CCGGGGTGTCCCACAGGCAGCAGGACCTGTTTCGGGTGCTGAAGGCATACACCCTATACCGCCCAGAGGAGGGCTACTGCCAGGCCCAGGCCCCCATCGCCGCCGTCCTGCTCATGCACATGCCGGCCGAGGTAGGAGCTGGGCCTGGCGGGAGGGACTGGGGGGCTCCTTTTGGGGACACCAGGGTGCTCACCCACTGTCCCTTGGCCCGCAGCAAGCGTTCTGGTGCCTGGTGCAGATCTGTGAGAAGTATCTCCCCGGCTACTACAGCGAGAAGCTGGTGAGTGAAGGACCCACGGCGCCTGTGGCGTGGCAGGGGCCTGTGATGCCTCCAGGCCGAAAGCTCCCCCAGCTTCTCACCCTGGAGACAGAAGGGAGCCTGGGGAGCTGATCCCCAGGGGTTGAGGTGCTCACTGGGGGTCTCCACGCTGTGCCCTGCAGGAGGCCATTCAGCTGGACGGGCAGATCCTCTTCTCCCTGCTGCACAAGGTCTCGCCCGTGGCCTACAAGCACCTGAGCAAGCAGAAGATCGACCCCATCCTGTACATGACAGAGTGGTTCATGTGCGCCTTCTCCCGCACCCTGCCCTGGAGCTCCGTCCTGCGCGTCTGGGATATGTTCTTCTGTGAAGGTAGGAGCCCCCCACCCTCCTCTTCCTCCCAGGCTGGCACGTGGCAGGAGCGCTGCCGTGCCTGCCTGCCTTGTGGCATGTGGGATAGATTCGGGGCAGCCACCTGCCTGGAGTGGACACTGGGCTGTTTTCCAGGGGTTCGGAGGCATGTACCTCCCAAATTTACACTTGTCCTGAATGCTGGAGGGGCCAGGACCTGGTGCCCCACAGCATCTGGGGGACATAATGGCAGCGTCACCCTGTCCCGCCGGGCGCTCGCTGCCTCACCTCTCCCCTTGCAGGGGTGAAGATCATCTTCCGTGTGGGCCTCGTGCTGCTCAAACACACCCTGGGCTCCTCGGACAAGCTCAAGTCCTGCCAGGGCCAGTACGAGACCATGGAGAGGCTGAGGGCCCTCAGCCCCAAGATCATGCAGGAGGCCTTCCTGGTGCAGGAGGTGAGGTGCTGAGGAGTGTCTGGCGGCCCAGTGCAGCCCAGTTGGCCACGCTGCTGGACTGGGCCGCCCCTGGGCGGGCAGAGCTGGGTTGTAGCGTGGGGACGGTCCCCAAAACACTTGGATTTTAGTGTTGCTTCTGCCCCGGGGGGAGGGGAGTATCCCACCCCGGGAGGCAGCTGGCCCTGGGTGGCCCTGGAGATGCCGATGGCAG